TAGCTAAAAAGTATACACTTTTATTCAATAATAGTTATTATATATGTATATATAAATTATAATGTAATAATAAATACTAAAAAAAAGTACAATAATATTTTTATTTTTATTCATCACATGATAGGTAGAAGAATATTAATATTAAATTGTATTTCATGTATATATTTCTTCAATATTAGATCAAAAGCTGACAAATATTATTCAAATGCTTCATAATTTTTATAATTTAATCATATTTAATAATTGAATCATGTTTGTAATTAAATATTCAACTATTCATATTAAATAATATTGTTCTGCTTTTTCCCATTATTCAAAATATTTCATCAATATTAGATCAAACCTGACAAATATCATTTATTTAATATTTTTATTTTTGACTATATTTTTTATCATTTATATATTCATCACATGATAGGTAGAACAATTTTAATCTTGAATCGTATTTCTTATATATATATTTCTTTAATATTAGATCAAAGCTGACAAATATTTATTTAAATATTACATAAATTAAAAATGATTATTATTATTATTTGTGATATATTGTGAATTTTATATATTCATTATCCTATAAATGGGTTGTATGAGCTTCTCAGTGTCCTTATACAGAAAGTATTTAAGGGTTTATTTCAAATGGCACTGTTTGAAGATGCAGATGAATTGTTAAAATAATTTATTGGAACAGTGGTTGGACATGTTTAATTAGAGATGCTCTGGTCAAATAAGAAGAGCATTTTCATTGGTGTCTGTCAAATGAAGTCTTCATCTGCTCTTGATAGCGTCAGGCTTTTGGTCTAGTCAGTCAGATTTGAAGATGTCTGGGTGATTCAGACTCTAGAAAGGTGCATGTGAGTAAGACTCTCTGCTGTGGTTAATGCCATGCTTTCCTTCAGAAGATCACAGTCATGTGATCACAGCTCTCCATCACACTAACACTGAGAAAATAGGACTAATAGAGCCCTCCACATCAGTCTTTCGGTGTCTCTTTCTGTCAATCTGAAAATAAATGCTCAAAGCTGTGCGCTTGTTCAGGATGCCGTTCCTCCCTCATCATGTGAAGCTCTCTCAGGATTTCCTCTTTTTGTTTAGACACGAGTTGTTGTTTACAGGATGTACGAGAGTGCAATCAAAATAACGACAGACCACAAATCTTCTAGCTTGATGCTCTGTTGAAGATACTCTGATTACTGACGGGTCACTCATTTTTACAACTACTTTTTTTAGTAGTATTATGATTCATGTATTTGAATTTTATATGATAAAACCTGACAAATATTAATTTATATATGATAATGATACATTTAAAAAAACTCATTTTTGTGCACATAATATCATTTATTTTACATATCATATCTCTCTTTTTAAATAATAATAGTAATGCTGTTATTAATATTTATATATATGTGTGTGTGAGAGAGAGATATATGTGTGTGTGAGAGAGAGTGAGAGATAATAAATAAATTAAAACATTGTTATCATTTATTATGTGTATATATGTAATCATATATAATAGTAATATTATATATTCATTTATATATAATGATAAATAAAAAAGAATTATGATGTGCATATAAGTTATTTTACATATATCAAAATATCTATTTTAATATAAAATAAAATATATATAATATATAATATAATAATATATAAAATATATTTTTAATAATAATAGGAATGCTAATATTAATATATATAATACATTTTCTCTATATATATATATA